ATGTTCATATTTAGCTGGAAGCATTTATTGTAATTTCCCCTAACCAAAGCAATACAATAAATATTTGAGAACACACTAACCTCTCAACTACACTTTATGGCCAAAGATATTTGGACACTTTCATGATTTTGGCAAGGCTCCTAAGTTCCAGTTAAGGGAAATGTTAACAGTTTGGCAACAGTTTAGGGAAGGCTTTTTCTTGTCTCCCCCTTGACATGCCCCTGTGACATAACCGAGGTCCATGAAGAGATATTTTCTGAGTTCAGTGAGGAGGAATTTAAACAGCCTGCGAAGAGCCCTGAACCTCATCCAACACTTTTGGGATGAATTGAAACGTAGACTGTGAGCGAGGCCTCATCAGCTCACATCAGTGTCTAACTCTCTTTAATGCTCTTGTAGCTGAATGAGAGCAAATCCCTGCAGCCAGGTCCCAGAATCTTACAGAGAGCCACTCCAGAGGAGTAAAGGCTGTAATAGCGGTTTTGGAATGAGGTGTTCGACAATCAAATGTGGGCATAATATTTGGGTGTCCACAAACTTTTGGCCATATAGTGTATGTCCTACTGACACTGGAATATATATGCACACATAAATATATACAGTATACATTGTGCGTACGTCCACCTGATTTTAATGTAGGTTTTTAGTATATTTGCAAAGTATATTTTAATAAATAATATTATTTCTTTCTATTGCACCACCTGCAGAAAAAAAAATCTAATCAGCTGAAACTAAAATTGTGAGACAAACACTGAAATCAAATCTCACACTGATTAAACATCATGAGAGAGGCTCCCTCCTGTAATTTATAAAGCAAAACAAGTTGTCGCCTTTAAGATTCACGTTGCGCTTGTGCTTTGCCAAGCAGTGGTGTTTGGTATGTCACAGGTCACACTGTAAAACTGTCAAGGTTATAAGCCACGAGCAATAAAGGGCCTGAGATAAACACTCCCACCTGCAGCAGTAGAGGACTGTAAACGTGGGTGCAGCTCTACCAAGCTGTCTGCAAGTTTGCTCCTCTCACAGTTAACATATAACTAAGCTGATATCTCACTAAAACAATGGCAAAATAACAAAACTATTTCAAAAATACTTAACCAAAGCCTTTCTGTCATACTTTCCACTAACGGAAAGAACAGCAGCAAAAGAGTGACACACTCTGTACCTCGGCAAGTCACTCCCCACTTCAAGTGTGTGTTTCAGCTCAATATGTGCACACGTTGAGCAATTTGTCTGTAGGAGAAGTGCTTTTCCATATGAACTCACAGTGCCAGTAAACTGCACAAATCCCCCTAAAAACCGAGCCAGTGTGCAGTGTGAGTTTTTAACAGCAAAAACTTGAATAGTTGAGAATAGAACAGACTTTTATAGTAACAGACTATAACCAGGTCCAATATCAGCAACAGAAGTAATGCGTCGATCAGGGAAGACAACAAGAAAAGTGGATTTAAACAGCAGGAACAGTTGCCATTTAGCTGCCCCTCAAAGCTGATACAATGCCACTCTTGTGTTAACTTTATGCACTATGTTCTCACACAGGGATCATGGGATTTCCTGAAGCCACTTACTGCTGGAATGACTGCTTTAATGTCGCTGTTCTGTTAGAAAATGTATTTAAAATCACAACCTAAACACAAGTTTCCCTCACTCTCCTGCAAACAGTTATTACTTCCAATGCTTTCACTTATAACCTAAACAGCAGCATAACTCCTCCCATATGGAACCGCTGGGACGAATATCGACAATTTGGGATTCCTGGAGTAAAAGAGACTTTCGGGAAGGAGACTTTTGGACACAGATGTTCTTTCACTTTACTAGTAAAAAAGTGAGAAGTGAGGCGATTGCAGGATTACGAAGGGAAAGTTGTGCCTAAAGTTGTGTTACATCATCGAGTGTCCTGAAGTTATCCAATATGCAACAGGCAGCAGTTGGGGGGGTGGAGGTGGGAGAAGGAAGGCTTACCAGATGAAGTCGGTGCAGTGGCTGCAGAAAGTCGGCTGCCTGAAGAACCTGGCTGTGAATTTGTGGTTCTTGACTTCGTGGACGTTTTTTTGCCTCAGAGCACCTTTGCGAGCGAACCTATTCGCTACGTCCTCGCCGGACGACTCGAGTAAACTGACATCAGCCATGTCCCCCCTAAAAGCAAATCAATGCTTCAGCTTTTTAGTCTCGCTGTGTTGAAGTGTCTCTCAGTCCGTGTTTAGAGGCGCAGCTCTCAGTGCAGAGCCAGCAGGGCGCGGAGCAGAGCGGCGGTGTTCACCGGAGACACTGTACTTACTGTCTGAGGGCTTTCCCTGCCTGTCGATACCACTGGGCTGCTCCACTGACAGCTCCGCACGCCGTCAGGTTAACCACAGTGAAGGCGCTACATCCGGTCCCCGCCTTCAAAGTAAAGGTTTCCTCTCTCCTCTCTCCTCTCCTCTGTTTTTGTTTTCAACAAAATAAATAAATAAATAACCTGTTGCGTAATTTCCTACGTGCATTCCTGACATCTGCCCACTCCGACTGGAGTCTGTTGGAAAGTGCTAGCTGTCCCCATAAATGAATCCACACTTTATTGGAGGGTGTTGGAGTAGCCTAGAGTGAATATCTATAGGCCATGGTTTCCCAAAAATGTTTATTTTAAGGACCCAAGACCTGCAATATGAGAGGATTTTATCTTAATGAATCTTCTCTGCGTCATCTACTATTTTTAGAGTTGAAGATTATAAAGTCTTTGCAGTTAATCAATTATCAAACTGGGATCACTATAAATCCTAATCAATAAAAATAGCCAACCTTATGGTTTTCCTTGTAGATTGAACTTCAAAAAGGCCCCAGTTTAAAAACCACTGCTATGGGCTACATTTTTTAAGCATGCAGAGGACCTCAGTTGTTTCTGAGGCTTAGTTTAGCTACTGAGCTGGACCTGTTAAACAGGCTGGATCAACGAAAAACCTGCCCTGTGGACCTGGAGAACTAGAAGCCTTATTCTGCACTCAATTTCTCCTGAAAATGAATGTCAGTAATAATAAGTAATAATACTGTTAAGACATTTTATGCATTACTTAATCTAAGGCAGCAACTTTGCAGCATGCACATGATGCATTTATATACATTGTTGTTATTATTTATAGTTACACTATTAATACAAAGTGCAACTTTAAACTGAGTGTAGATGTAAACATTTAGACCATGAGGTATTTTACACTTAGTTAAAAGTAATGCAGTTTAATACAACAGCCCTGCAATAAATCCTACTGTTATGAAGGTTATAATAAACTTTTTAAGCCTGTGTGCATCTGCCCACATCATTTGTATCAATGAGGCTACATTAAATATTTAAAACACTTTTCAGTATTACATAATACAATACAACTCTAAAGAAAAAAATTACCTTAGGAATTATCACAGGGCTGCTGGACAGCATTACTTTTAGACAGATGTGCCTAATAAACTGACTACTTATACTTTGACTTATACTTATAATTTCAAAATCCTCAAAATGCCATATAAGACATCCCTTGGTGTCATCAGTGCCTTCAGTGCAGCCTTTAATCTCATTTACAGTCACAAAGGGGTTCACAATGTCCTTGTTGTCAAACAATACATGAAAGTGACATCCGCCAACCTTTTAAAACATCAAAAAGGAAACCATGAAACCTTTCTGCATATTCAGTTTTCAACTGTTATGTTTTCAACACTACTAAACACAGAGTGTTTAGTAGTGTATAGTAGACTATCCACGATTTCAGCTCCTCTGAGGATTTGAAGTGACAACCTTCAACAAGCAGGAATCTCTTTATTGGCAGACTATTTCTGCTGAAGCTTGTAGTGGATGTTAAATCAGCAGGTTAGTATTGCCAAAATCCTCACTTTTAATAGCATGTTATCATAGCTCCAAACCCCTGGAGCTATGATAATCAATCCAAACCCCAGAGAGCACATTGTTCTTTGTGTTATTTTTTAAAATGTCATATAATTTCTTATTGATTTTTTAAAAAGGCTCTTTTGCTCATTTTATTCATAAAATAAACTTCCTGCTCGTGGTGTGTGTATCTTTGTGTAACTTGACAGCTGATCCGCTCCGCTTCCTCCTTTTCACTCCGGCTGATGTCACACAACAGGACCGCCGTGGAAGGAGGAGGCCCCCGGTCCCGCTGCAGGAATTTGGGATGCGGGCGTCATCTTGTGGAATAACGGCGCATTACACATTTTTAGCTCGTCTGTGGGAATTGGACAGTTACTCCACACATATAGGTCTGGCTAGGTCTCACACTCAGAATACTTATCTAATTATTATTATTATGGAACTGTAATAAAAAGTAACCATCTTCATAATTAACCTGAGCCACCAACCATATGTGATCCCTCATAATTGTCATTTTATATGCTTTGTATCAGTCCTTCAAAACCACAATTTATCAATCACAAGCAGATGAATTTCCTACTTGATCAGTAAGTATTATGTTCCATTAAGCTCCCTGTCTTTGTGCCTGATACTGTGCTTAACTATGATTTTGCTGTTGTTATTATTTGGATTTTAAAAAAAATTCTCATAGCTATGGAGGGTCTACCAACTCTCTTAATTTGCTTACTATCTCTAAAACTCTCTAGAATCAATTCTCCTAGGTTCACTGACCAGCCGAGCAGCCTAACCAACCGCTCTCATGTGAAAGACAAATATTTGCAAATTAAAATTAGGTTAGATGTGCTTTTCCCTGAAGTCAGATGTTGCTGGGCTAAATCCCATTTAAAACAACCATTGATGAGAAACACCTGTAGTAAAAGAAAAAGAGTGAGAGCTTCCTGTAGTCTTCTTAGCACAATGGTTCTCAACCTTTTTCCTTAAGGGACCCCTTCTCATTGAGTAAACTGATTACCCTTGACTATGTGACATATTTAGATATTTGAGATTATATTCACTGTATAACAATAAAAGTAGCAGTAACACTGATAAAGTGTACAAAGAACCCAAATAGTGAACACCATAACTGTGTTTTAAATTTGTTACAAAATGTATAACTTTTATAAAAAACATTTTGATTTAGTTTTCTTCACAGAAATATATGAAATGTTGAGATGTAGACTATATATTTCAAACATTTTCTTACACCTCTTAAAGAGTTGTAAAGAAGGCCTTTACTCCCCATGAAGCTTTGGTTGACCCTTATAGGGGGTCCTGATCTCCAGGTTGGGAACCACTGGCCTAGCAGACCCACCCATTAATTAAATTCAAGTAAATTTTATTTGTATAGCGCCAATTTATAACAGAAGTTAACTCAGGACACTTTTCAAATAGAGCAGGTCTAGACCGAACTCTTTTAAAATTATTTACAGAGACCCAACAGTTCCCACCATGAGCAAGCACTTGGCGACGGTGGCAAGGAAAAACTTCCTTTTAAGAGGCAGAAACCTCGGACAGACCCTTCGGCCGGCTTCTAGGTGGGCTGGTCGTCCTGCCAATCTAATTCAAAGATCTGCTAGGGGGGAAAAATCATTACACATTTAATAACATTATACAGGGACCAGAGAGAGAAAGAGAGATCAGAA